GGTTTCCTTTTTAAAACTAACTACCAAGATTTGTTTATGAAATAAGAAGAAAAAGTTGTTCAAGTTGTCATTTTCAAAATTAAAGCCTCAACTCTGCAGGGAGAAGTTCACAGTGATTAGTTTATGCCTCCTAAAAGGGGAAAGGTTGTATACATTTAATTTATAAAAGAAATAGTAAGTACAGAAACAAAGGTCATATTTGTACCTTTTACAAATATTAAAAATATATTGTAGGGGCACCTGGGTGGCTCAGTCAGCTAAACATCTGACTTCAGCTCAGGTCATGGTCTCACAGTTCGTGAGTTCGAGCCCTGCATCGGGCTCTGTGCTGACAGCTCAGAGCCTGGAGCCTGCTTCAGATTCTGTGTCTCCCTTTCTTCTGCACCTCCCCTACTTGCATGGTTTCTCTCTCTCTCTCTCTCTCTCTCTCTCTCTCTCTCAAAAATAAGTAAACATTTAAAAATTTGAAAAAAAAAAAGTTAAAAGTATATTGTGAAAAATAAGGAAAAGGAGTTCTAGAACATTCTTGGAAGATAGCAGCCTGAGCACATGTCTCTGGGTTGCATGATCAGTAAAAGACACCAGCAGGGCTTGGAATGAGCCTGGATCCACTGGCCCCTAGGAAGAAAGTGTGAGTTTGAGGAAGTGGAGATAAGAGATTATGATTTTTTTTTTCTACAACTTCTCAAATTGTTTCAGATATCTATCACTTTTAATTAAAAATTTTTATTGGGAATCTATAATGTTGGAGTTATAAAAACAGTTCAGTTTTGTAAGAGGATTGTATGCAGTGAATCATAAATGTGTTTATTCCCTTGGACCAATAATCCACTATTAAAGTATAATTCAAGAATAATCATTTAAAAAATGTACTATGGGGGCGCCTGGGTGGCTCAGTGGGTTAAGCGTCCAACTTCGGCTCAGGTCATGAGCTCACGGTTGGTGGGTTCGAGCCCCGCGTCGGGCTCTGTGCTGACAGCTCGGAGCCTGGAGCCTGCTTCGGATTCTGTGTTTCCCTCTCTCTCTGCCCCTCCCTTACTCATGCTCTGTCTCTCTCTGTCTCAAAAATAAATAAAATATTTTTTAAAAATGTACTATGCACAAAGATGCAAATAATCTCCACATTAAAGTAACCACAAAGGAAACCAACCTAAATTCTCAAGAGTTAGGAAATAATGAAATGCTTAAGCTATGAATTCAGTGGACTATTACAAGGCTATTGAGATAAATACGCAAGCGCTGGATGCATGAAAGGTGTAATAATGTTAAAAAGTGTCTAAATGGCAGATTTACACTATAATGAAACATAGATTTCTGTATTGGTGCCATACAAGGAGCATGTGAGATAGCTGTATGGCTAACGGGTCATGGGGAGTTGTATACACATGAGTATATACGTGTTGCATATGTTTGAACTTGGGTGTTTTTCTAGGTAAAGTTCTTGAACGAGCAAAATTGCTTTTGAAAAAATATGAGGTGTTAATGGCCACAACAAATTTATAACCTCCCTTAGTTAAGCACGACCCTGGTAAGAACATGTGGTTAAAAGCTCTTCCAAGAGCCACTTGCTTAAGGATAGAGGTTTTCAGGTTGGTGAATGCAGCCGTAGAATACAGGGACTGTGTTAGTGCCAATATTGCAGCCTGACCTGCAATTAAGTCAGTTGCATGACGAAAAACAAATACATTTGTAACAACACCTTATGGTAAAATAAAAATACAAGGAAGGAAGAAATAGACTGAGTCATCTTCAAGGGTCCCAAAATGAGAAGCAAACCGAAATAAGCAAAAAACTAACATTTGTCCAGTGGAAAGCTTCCGCTCGAAGGGAAAAAAGAGGGCACAGAAGACAGATTTCAGGTGGTGGTACAGTAAAAAATAAAGGAAAAATAAGAGGATAATTAGTGTGGCAAGAGAATAGTAAGGACAAATAGTATCCATTTGAAAAAAGAAGGGTTCGGGGCGCCTGGGTGGCGCAGTCGGTTAAGCATCCGACTTCAACCAGGTCACGATCTCACGGTCCGTGAGTTCGAGCCCCGCGTCGCGCTCTGGGCTGATGGCTCAGAGCCTGGAGCCTGTTTCCGATTCTGTGTCTCCCTCTCTCTCTGCCCCTCGCCCGTTCATGCTCTGTCTCTCTCTGTCCCAAAAATAAATAAACGTTGAAAAAAAAAAATTGAAAAAAGAAGTGTTGAGGTATAAGTATAATCAAGTTAAAAAAAAAAGTAAATGAACAGCATGATGGGGGACGAGGGATGGGGAAATGGGTGATGGGCACTGAGGAGGGCACCTGTTGGGATGAGCACTGGGCCTTGTATGTAAGTGATGAATCACGGAATCTACCCCCAAAACCAAGAACACACTATATACACTGTATGTTAGCTAACTTGACAATGAATTATATATATTAAAAACAAACACAAAAAAGGAATGCTGAAGGTCAGGATAGCAGAAGCTAAAAAGAATACAATTTCAAAAGTGCACCATGTTGATCGGAAACTGGCATGTGCCTAAAGGTCTTTGGTTTGGGTCTGTCTGCCAGAAAATGTATTTATGTAATAGTTTAAACTTTTTCATTATAAAATTAGCATGTGACGACCTCACATACTGAGCTAATGAAATAGCACAAGCTGGGTGTTAAGTTTGAGAAGGAGGGTATGGAGCAGTCATATATGAGGCAGGCAGAACAATGGTCAAGGAAGTCTGAGACAGAACGTGTTGAAGTCACATAAACCACACTGAAAGTTACAGAGAAGATAGTACAAAAGTAACCGGAAGAATATATCTTATTCTTCCATAGATATGATATAGATAGATATATAGATATGAAGATTCTTGTGGTTTTTTCTCCCTGTTTTAGTGAAGGGCATAGTTAGTAAAGAACTATGGGAACTAAAGAACTAAATGGGAACTTAAAAGGAGAGAGGTTTCAGGGGAAAAGGCTTGAAAAATGAGATCAAAAAGAGGAGATGCGAGAAAAAGAAAGAATTAAGTAAGAAGAAGAAAGAGAGAGAGAAAGGAGAGAGAGTGGAAGAGAGAGGAAAGAAGTAAAGAAAGGAATCTGAGTGCTTATGAAAAGAGGGCAGGACAAGCAAAAAACATCTTTTAAGAGATTATCATGATATAGAAACCAGACAAAACAGTATGAAAGAAAGAAAGAAAGAAAGAAAGAAAGAAAGAAAGAAAGAAAGAAAGAAAGAAAGGTAAGAAAGCAGAAAACTACAGATCACTATCTCTTAGGAACTTCCAGGCAAAAAATCCTCAACAAAATATTAGTGAAACAAATTTAACAATGTATAAAAAGAATTAGACAACATGATCAAATGACATTTATTCCAGAATGTCATGCTTAGCATGACATGTCTTTCATGTCTATGAAAGGCTGGTTCAACATTCAAAAATCCATAAATGTAATCCATCACAACAATAGGTTAAAGAAGAAAAAGCATATGATTATATCTACTGATGCAGGAAAAGCACTGGACAAACTCCAACACCCATTCATGATTAAAATTCTCAGTAAATTAGGAATAGAAGGACACTTCCTCAACTTGATAAGAAGCATCTACCAAAAACACACCAAAACTCGAGCTTAATGGTGGAAGATTTTCCCCTTAATGCTTTCCCCTTAAGGCAAGAATATCTGTTGTCACTACTGTTACTCAACACAGTGCTGGAAGTCAGAGCCAGGGCAATAAGGCAAGAAAAAGAAATAAAAGAAATAAAATATCTACATAAAAATTCCCAAGGAATCTATAAAAACACTTGTAGGACCAAAAAGCACATTGAGTTTTGCAAAGTTTTAAGTACAAGGTGAACACACAAAAATCAACTGCGTTTCTACAAACAAGTAATGTACAATTGAGAACCAAAATTTTTTTAAATGCCACTTACAAAAGCTCCAAAATAACTGAAATATGTAGGTATAAATCTCACAAAGCATGTATAGCATCTGTATACTTGAAGTAACAATCAAGATACCTACTGGCCAACAAATAACTTCTGTATTTCAGCTAATTATCTGTTAGCCAGAATATAAATAAGGTTTAACAAACGTTCAATATAAACTACAGTACTATTCAGAGTAATAAACACATTCCTCTACTCAATTGCACCAAGTTGTTTGATTATATCTCCTCAAAGCATATCTTTATATACTGATATTTTAAAGTAACTAATAGATTATTTAAAAGCATAAACAGTTAAAATCCCACTAAAACTGAATGCTGTAATGTATGTAAGACCAGTTAAATAAACTATGTCTCTTTTGGGTGTAGCTGCAACTTTTATAAAATTTTGATTTTTTTTTTTTTGGTCTCTTTTGTCTTCCACTACTAAAAACTGTATCAAACTGTATTATTAAAAAGCTAACAAGAGTTGAGAGCTGAGTAAATGTGATCTATCTGGATAATGCAGGCCCTAAGTCAAGTCATTCTGAAAAAAAATATTTTGTTCTGCCTGACTGATTTGCTAAATACGGAATTAAAAGTCAGCCACACGAACATAGCTGCCATGGAGCACTTGCAAATTTTCTCCTACTTTGCTCATAGGAAGGACCTCTCTCCCTCACTCAGCTGCTGACTGCTAATATCAGTTGCTATCACACACAGCTTTCCCGCTGTTTCCCTGGCTGTTATCTGTAGTCTGAAACTACCTTCCAGTTACCCAAAGGAACTTTCCTCATACCCTCAATTCCTGAACCCATTGCTCAAGATTACTTGCCCATTGGCTCAGCAGACTATCCAATCCACCTGCTTGACCTAAATAGGATCATATTAATTCTGATGTGGGATCACATAGCCAAAATGATCATCGAAGAGTTACGTTTTAGCTAAAATAGTTGCCAACGGATAAATATTCACATTAATAAAAATGTTACGGCACAACTCTCATCCATAACCTGTTTCCTTAATGGAACTTGAGGAATTATCTAATGATATATGGCAAAATATGTACCTTTTTTCCTTCAAAGGTTGACTATTTTAAAACCAAACCAAAGCTCACCAAAATTTGAACAGGCTTCATCACTTTTCTAGTAATGATACCAGGGGCTCTTAAACGAAGCGTTTCCAAAATACACCATCTGATCAGTGGGAGTTTCTTCAAGTCATCCTCAGATACTTTTATCTTATCTTTACCTGTAGAGAGAATTTCAAAATTTGTTTAAAAGACCGACCTAAAGAGGCCAGAGAGTGATTTCACGGGAGCTTATTAATACAGGTTAGACGCTGCCTTGGACAACAAGTGTTAGCATTACTATTACTTTTTGCATACCATGTTTAGTAACACATTGCCTCTTTTTATCATTTTCCTTCTACCAAGAGCCAGTGCAGCCTAAAAAATTAAACCGTTGTCGATTCTTTCAAGGTGATGGACTGGGATCCAACCTTGGGCTTCATCTTCGTATGGCTGTCAAATGATTAAGATGGTACCCGTCGGAAAGGTGTTCCATTTTCACTCCTTTCTTTCTTTCTTGTCTAAATATTCCTTCCACTTAAGGAAACAGCAATAGAGGATTGGCTTCAAACGCATAAAGTAAAAGATCGGAGAAGCCACCTGGCTTGCTATTTCTGCCTCTTCCCTGCTGATTCATTTTTGGTTTTGCTTTTGATTTTTCAATCATACATTTCAGAAGGTCCAAAAAGAACATGAGGAAAGGGACAATGAGGAACATGTATTACATCTGGAATGATGAGCTCTCCCTCTAAACATAGGTGCACCAAACATTCCTAATGTAATGTGCATACCTTAGTTTATGTTTAGATTGAAGGCATCTGAAAAAGGATTGGGGTCAATCTTTCCATGACCCAAAATATAGCTGGGCCCTTTCAGTCCACTTAGACATTTTAATTAGTGGTATTTCAAGTAAAATGTTTGCATTCTGAAAATTACTTGAAACAACCCAGCTTTCAATTTGTTTTGACAGTATTGGTTAATAAAAGTAAAAGAACACTGCCAGTTTGATTAAGCCAAGTTGCACATTTGCTTCCCAACTGTAGTGGCAATGCATGGATAAGAGTCTCCAGCCGTGTCTTAGATTCTCGACGAATCTGGTTCTAAAGTAAACCCATTCTGTAGGACAGTTATAGGTGGGTGCTACCTGGGAAATCTGACCTGTCAGTACATCTGTAATTCCTGAGTAGTCAGAAGCAAATCTGAAACCAGGCTTTCTAAGCTATAGTTCTACTAATAGCCATAGGGACATCTATACATTCCATTCAACTCGACAGATTCTTGAGCACCAAGTAAGAGCCAGGAGTTGAGTTAGGCTCTACTAGGGTACAATAATTAAGACATTCTTGTGGGGCACCTGGGTGGCTCAGTCAGTTAAGCGTCTGACTTCGGCTCAGGTCATGATCTCACGGTTCATGAGTTCAAGTCCCTCATATGGCTCTGTACTGACAGCTCAGAGCCTGGAGCCTGGTTCGGATTCTATGTCTCCCTCTCTGCTCTCTCCCCACTCGTACTCTGTCTCTCTCTCAAAGATAAATAAACATTTAAAAAAGTTTTTTTTTTTTTTTTTAAAAAAAGACATTCTTGCAATGCATTTAGTCTACTAGGAGGTAAAAGATAAGCCTATAGTTAACTGGTACACCATGCAAGTAAGGAAACTGTTCTGTGATGTGTAAAATATTCTGGTATTTTATTCTAATATAAAAGCAGGGAGGTTCAGGGGCACCTGGGTGGCTCAGTCAGATGAGCGACCGACTTCAGCTCAGGTCATGATCTCACAGTTCGTGAGTTCGAGCCCCGCGTTGGGCTCTGTGCTGACAGCTCGGAGCTTGAAGCCTGCTTCGGATTCTGTGTCTCCCTCTCTCTCTGCCCCCCCCCCCGCCACTCATGCTCTGTCTCTCTCTGTCTCAGAAATAAATAAACATTTAAAAAAAATCAGGGAGGTGCATGTCTAACTAAAAGAAAAGCAAAATATTTTGAGTATCTTTGTCTACAACTATGATTATAATGAGTTCCTTGCAAAGAGTAGACTTTAGTAAATAACTGCTGAATTAACCAAGGTCCAACTTCAACATGGGGAGATGGATGAATGAACAGTCCAGGCAAAGGAAAGAGGAAAAGCAAAAGGAAGACTGTACAAAGCACGGGTATGTTCGGAAAATGGCAGTGGGTGTAACGGGTCCAGAAGGTGGTATAAATGTGATGGAACAGTGAGAAATCTCCTGAGGCCATTACAGATGATCCATGACACCATTCTAGAAAATGTGAAGACTCGAGAATCTGGGGGCTTCCTCTCTTGGGCCAAGAAAGGATGAACCTTCCAACAATGAAATAGTGATACACAGCCCTGTTCTTTACTAAGACCTTCTGCTCATTTGCTCAGACCTAAGTAACCTAATATTTAAAAAGAGACCAGTGACCTTAGGGGCCATTTGTTTAACCTTCACGGACATTGTCTCACAAAACTTTTGCTTTTGCTTTTCCATAACAGGGATGGGAAAATAATAGGTATGCCTTCTGCATCTTCACAACCTAAATATCACAGTTTTTCCAAATTGTGTTCTATGAAGCATTTGCAAGATGTCCAAAGTTCAAAGCAGAAAAAGCGTTTTATGGCCAACCAAATTAACAGGAAATGTTAGCATTCTCTTGGTGATTCACTGAACACATTAGCGTATTACAGGTTTTGAGAAATCCCACAGGAGAAACAGCTATTTACGCTAACATTCCCAAACTTTTAAAAACTCCCATTATCTACACCAGCATCATCAATAGCTATTTAACCAGGACTCAAAAGATAAGTAGCTATATACTGGCTATGGATACTCTCTGAGATAATCCTTCAACAAACAAACAAACCCTGGTTTTCATGTCTCAGCATTACCAGCACATATCAAATGTCTCAGCATGCATGTGGCCAAATCTTCTACAAGTAGTTACTGGGAACCAAAGGAATGATTACCATCAGAAAACTACCTTGATATGCCATGGAACAAAAATTTTACTTCTTCTTACTTTCCCTGAACTATCCCTGGACTTTCTAAGCTAATTCAGAAAAAAAGTTAATTTAGAGAATCCACGGTCAGAATCAGAAATTTTTTATTTGAAAAAAAAAAAATGGCTGAGATCATTGCCTATGCAAGAGCTATCACTACTAAATCAAGTGAGCAAATATTTATTTGGCATTTAGTGGAGAGCAAAGTGCTAACTAAGCACTGCAGGGGAAACAAGAAATTGAAGGTTTAAAGATACTACACTTAAAAAGACAACAAATTCTAAAACTGAAAAAAGGAAGGGTAAGTGCTTTGCCCAGACAGTGTTGAAATGAGGAATTCTGAGGTTCTAACTGATGAGTTTATAAACGGCACACAAACTTAGCACGGTGTCTAACATGAGGTAAGCGTTCAATATAAGGTGGTATTTATTACTGTTACCATTATTATTAGTGAAAATTTAGTAATAACTCTTTAGAAACCACACCTTCCTGATTGATTTTGCTCCATAGCTAGTAAAGTGATTCTTTTCCCTGAAACCTTAGTTGGGAGATTACAGTTTGAAAGCATATCCAATACTAATTGGACACCAGGTCTGCGGAATTCTTCCAACCATTCACCCAACAGATATTTACTGAGAACCTCTTAGCAGTGTCCAAGTGCTGAGGATGAACATGAATGGAAGAACCTTGGCTCTCAAGGTACATAGTCTGATTGAAAAGGCATAGAACTAAAAGTAATTAACATGTGGTAGGTGTTACCACATCAAAATGTGCAATGTGCTATCAGGCACAGTGGTGACAGTGACCACACTGGGGTGGGTGGGGAGGGGCAGGTGTGAAGGGGATGTCAGAGAGGCTCCTCACAAGAAGTAAAATCAGAACAAAGGATTAGATACACCAAAGTAAGGGCATGTTCACATAATAGGAATCTAGCTGGCTGGAACAGAGTTCAGTGTAGGAAGTGACAAGATCAGGGGTCCTCATTGCAGTCCCAGACTGCCCACACCAGCTGAAGCCAGAGCTAATGACAGGTGGCTCCTTTATCCAACCTCTGAATGTGCCCCAGGAGAGTCCAGGTTTCGGTTCTGGGCCTTCCTCTCTTCCCTAACTAGATTCTTTTTCTGTGGTTTTCAAACAAATACTTTTCTATAAAATATCATCAGTGGGCTGGTGAATTTTATCATCTGCCTTTGATCACCTTCCTGAGCTCCATCTTATTTTTATCCAACTGGCTTCTTTTTTTTTTTTTTTTTTT